AAAAGAGCTTTTTAAGCTACGCTCAGTACGTAATTTTTAGAGAAAGTTTGTAGCATTTAACATTACTTAGTCACAAGTCAGAGCACGTTGTTACACAAGACAGAACTAAATCAAACAGTTTGTCTTTTATCAAACAGCTATAAATTCTTTTTAAAGATCTTTCCAATCCGTAAAAAATAACAGTTGAATGCATCTTTTCAACTACTTGTGCCAAACGTATCTTTAACCATTGGCCCACTTCACAAGAAAATATTTCAAAATTTAATTAAACTAAGTTTTAAAAGGAGGGGAAAACATTTGGACATAAAAAAGAAGAATTCCTTTCTTACATATCATGCTATGTGTACACCTTTTTGTAAATGCTCCTATTTTATCTGTGTGCCAAGGTAATTCATAAAAAATGAAACCAGAGTACAAACAACTTGGACATGCAAACACGCGTACAATGGTGTATCCAGAAAATTCGGTTAGTGAGGGAAAACTTGCACTAGAATTTAGTCTCATATTTCAAAAATGGCAAATCACATTATTACTATTGTTTGATTAAATGCTCTGTATAGTTTAAGACATATATGTACAAGTATGAATAATAAGAAGATTAATTTATATTACCGGTGTGTAAAGATGCAATTGCGCATAAAATTGAGAAAATTATCTAAATATAAGTTAAAGATAACAACATTTAGTGAATATTTAGCATTTTCATTCTTTTATTATGAAAGAAAACACTCTTAATCCTATTTTAGATTTTTTATCGTACAATTCTTATTTTGAACAATTTCTTATAAAATTTTAGATATATATAAGGGTTGGGTTGGGATTGAATGGAGAACAGCTGCCCCCATTGCCCCGTAGTAGATACGCCACTGCATGCATAAATGTATACAGTAAGCACTATTGAATAAAAAAAGTCGGCAAATAATGAATAAGATATTAGAAACCAAAAAAGGATAAAGAGAAAAGAAATAATTAAATATTTATATCTGAACTAAATATTGTCTACCAAAATGTAACTAGAGTAGTAATAAAGTCATAGTAACTTATGTTCAATTTCTAAACATAAGTTACCATGACACAACATTGTAGTAAATATTAGTCGTAAATAAGTTTTGAGGTTTTTTCAATAGTAATACTAAAAAAAAGTGTTATGGAAAAAAATAAGACTACGATTAGGAAAAAAGGTTTTTTCAATAGTAATACTAAAAACTAGACTTAATGAATAAGATTCTCAAAAAATTTCATCAAAAAATTCTACCGGGAACCATCCCAAATGGCGTCGGCCGGACAGAACATCATAAATATGACTTTATTTGACATTTTTTTTCAAGTTCGAGACCTTATCTGACCCTTATCTCATTGTAATTTAATAGACTCTAAGCCAACCTAGATGAAAACACCATCCCCTTTTCTTACAAAGATAAACTTTATCAAGCTTTAATTATCTTTCTTCTTATGCTGCCAAGTTAGATGAACTCTTTTTTCAAGAACATACAGCATACGGACTTTTTATTAAACGTCAATGTTCTAGAAGATAGAAATAACATCACTAGTTTTTATAGGATGTTAAAAATGTTAGTTTGAAACTTTAAATTCGGCGTGTATGTTTATGCTTTAATTTATAAAATAAGTTATACAACTCAAATTAATATATATGCATCATGAAGTATTATGGATTGTGTTTATATACTAATACGTACATAACTTATATGGTATTTATGCGTCATTCTTTTATTGGACTCGTTACCCTAAAAACTAAAAAGGTAGTGGTTAAAAGGTCATAAAAACATATTTCCCGTCCTAAATTGTTTTGTAAAGTCAATATTTTTTTGTCAATCAATAATAAAAGTCAATGCTTTCTATCCATAATTAGTTCAACTTTTAATAATTACGGAGTAAAATTTATATATTCAGAAACTACATTAAAAAATATCTTCAAAGTTGTAAACTCCAAATTAGAATATAATTAAAAATTGACATCCTAATTAAACAAATAAAATGATACTGTTTGGTTAAGAAAAGTTAAATTTGCAAATTAATTTGGGACAGAGGAAGTAAGAATTATAGATAGCTAGGCTATTAAGTTTAACTTAACATTGACCATATCATATATAATAGTGTAGATTTCTCCATTCTGAAATATCATTGAGTTTATTACCCGTATAATTTATATATGCATCCTAAACTGTTTTAAGTGTCAAGAAATAACACTTTTGGAAGACAGTGAGAAAAGGTGCAACGTATTGGGCTAGGTTAATGATACTTTGTGTGACACATTATGCTTATGCCTATATATTACAATTACACTTTCTTTTTGCGTGTGCTCATGAAATAACTTTTAACTTATCGGTAAGGATGAGAATGGAGCTCAAACTTCATAAAAAGTGAGTGGTTGGCATGTACAACTTGCCCTAATTGAGATATTGTTATAACACCTTCTTTGATAGGAATTTATAATCTAACCATTTTCAATATCCATATTTCTCTACATTACAATACATGTACAAATTAAAAACTATTTGGGATGTTTTACACCTCACTCACTTACTCATTTACTCCATCGGTACAAGCTTATTTGCTAGCGACGTGCACGTGCTAGTGTGCTACACACTGACGACGAAAAGGAACTTAAATATCTTTGTGCAATTAAAGTACTCTAAATAGTTTGAATATGTGGAAGTAGTTTAAGATGTTAATTTTCATGTGCACACACAATAGAAAGTATTTACAATGCCCCTCTTTTGATTTGTTGCTTTTTTACTTGGAGAAATCTTCTCACGATAACCTCACTTTTTTTCACAAGGGGGACTGAATAGTTTTCTTGTAAGTTCAACGATATTTTAGTTAAAATTTATAACTTATGATACGAGATGACAAAAAAAAAATGCAAAGAGAACGTAACTTCCTATAAAAAGCATAATAGATGGCTGGAGTTTTATTCATGTTGACGTGGTTAAGAAATGTAAAGTACTAATAACATCCATTTCGGAAAATTAAAACACATTCCCTAAAAACTCATTTTGTTAGTTGTGCATACTACAAAACTTTGAAGGAATTCAATTTATTAAATGCATACTTCTTAAAACTACTAAATTTACTTATTTTCCATTAAAAGAATCTATTTAAAGAATCATATTCATATTCTTTAAAAACTTGCTTCGATAATTTTTTTATGCCACAAAACTTACAAGAAATTCAAATTATTAGATGTAATACATCATAAAACCACGAATTTTACTTATTTTGCATTAAAAGGTGATCATATTTCCGTTTTAGATACAGAAATTCCTACATAATTTGAAAATGAAATTAAAAATAGTTCAATTACGAATTGATATAAAGTAAAATTTATCCTTCATGCGTAAAAATATTATTTATCTATAATTAGCATTAATTACATGTAGTTGGAATGTGTGGTTGTGCATTACATTCCAATGATGACTTTGTAATGCAAAACTTTTCTGCTTGCGCTGTTTTTCTAGATTAAGTACTTTCTCATAAAAAGGGAAAATCGCATATATGGTCCCTCAATTATACACGAAATTAAAATCTCAGACCAATATTTCTGAGATCGTAAATGTCACCCCTCAATTGTCCAAAATGTTGTAAATGTGGTCCTTTTGAGAGGTGAAATATACAATGTGTGCGAGAGTACATTTCACTACTTAAAGAGCCACATTTACAACATTTTGGACAACAGAAGGGTGTCATTTACAATCTTAGTAATACAGGTCTAAAATTTTAATTTTGTGGATAACTGAGGGACCATATATGCGATTTTCCCTCATAAAAATCAAGCAGCTTTATATGTCAAAAAAATTGGATGGAAATGTTAGATAGATGCACTTTTATTTGAAGAAATATGCATCATTGATCATGATGGATAATAACAGTATTCGGTTATATGTTCTTGGAGAGATTTAGAGCAACAGAGATGAATAACAGAGAAGTGTATGCATATCGATTAGGAATTGTGTATTAGGGTTACAAGGCCTTCCATAGAGAGTATATATAGAGAAATACCGGGTCGGGCCAGTAATATGAGTCTGATAGGCCCAACAATACTATAAATGGTGTCTGCTAAGCGTGTGTGGACAACTATCTAGACCCAATAGTGATGAGATCGGGCTCCAACTCTACTCGATCAGATCCATTGAGTACTCAACTACTCATTCATATCTAGTCTAGGAATAGAAAAACGTATTTACAAAGTAGTGAGAATGTGCATATATGGAGACGTTTGATTATTAATAATGATATACCATTTAATTATGTAGTGTTCTATGATGCATGAGTTAGAACATGCAATATCACCAATTTATATGCGCTTTTGAGTTTCATTAGGTTCATGTATTTTTATTAGAACATTATTAAAACAAACACAAAAGACAATATATGACTACTTGATGATGTCCTTTAATTAACATTACATTTATATTGTGAAATGAGAGCAGTTTGATGTAATAGTGACTATGCAAATGATAAAAATAAAAGTCTCTTTATAAACTCTTTTTCTACAACTTTTTGTATTAAGATTTTCTCAATTAATTTATAAAAAATTATCAAGCTCCTATTTCTGGATTAGAATTAGATAGGTGTCTAAATTACAAGAGTGAACAATTGACACATATCAAACCAAATCTCATAAAAGTAGTACATTATAATTTAAAGCCTTTATTGCCTTTATAAAAATTCATATTTTGAAATGTAGTCACCGTCATTTATTTTTTATATAAGTAGTTCCTGTGAAAATTTATAATTATATTCTCCACCGTTTCAACAAATTAGGTTTCTGCATCACTAACCATAGATAGATAGTATGTATATACCAATATACCATGTTGCAAATTAAACTTGTGGTCGTTGTGGAACCATTCTTATATCATACTCCGTATTCCACAACAAGCACAATTTACAAAAAAAATTAACAAAATTTGTTGCAATATTAACATCAGAATAATACTAAATTTACAATTCATTTCTTAATTAAAAGACGAAGTTTGCAAGAATTGGAAGATATGAACTTAATTTAAATGTAGGGATTATGTTCTGAATATTATTAATTTTGACCCAATTACAAAAAAAAGTGACCACTTTTAAAAAAGAGCAAAGAAGTGATCAAGAAGGTCATATTAATGTCATTCCCAAATTTTAATGTCACTATCAAATGTCACTGTGGCCACCGCCCGTGTCACTGCGGCCACCTCCCGTGTCACTGCGGCCACCGCCCGTGTCACTGCGGCCACCGCCCGTGTCACTGCGGCCACCTCCCGTGTCACTGCGGCCACCGCCCGTGTCACTGCGGCCACCGCCCGTGTCACTGCGGCCACCGCTCGTGTCACTATCTTCACGGGCCGCCGGCCACGTTGACACAAAATTACTCCGACTACCGCCCTCGGTCAATTACCACCGCCTCCCCGCCGGATACCACCACACCCCAGCTCCTGCCCCACTACCACTGCCCTTGACCTGCCCTTTACCCAACAGACCAGCTCCCACAGCCCCAGCCCCAGCCCAGTCCCACTCCCCAGCCAGCAACCCCCCTCCCCTAGACCAGCTCCCACAGCCCCAGCCCAGTCCCACTCCCTAGCCAGCAACCCCCCTCCCCTGCTCCCGCCCCCTGTCCTCCCTAAGGCCTTTCCTCGGCCAGTTTTTCCGACCACCGTACCATGGAATCCTTGCCGCACCCACACTAAGATGGCAGATCCATAACCAGCAACCAAAAATAGCAGCCACCGCCCGTCTTATAGATCTGGCACCGCCGACTCTAAGTCACAGCCGTCTTCCATCTAGACATAGGACCCAGCATCGGCGGCCATCTAGGTCAACGGAGAAGCTACAGAAGCGCGGGGGGAGGACGAAAGGGAAGAAGACGCCTTGGAGGTCTTCTCTGCTCGCGAGATCGGCGAAGAGCAGGGCGAGGGCGAGAATTCGTCTGCGCAAGGTGATGGCGGCGCAATTCGTCTGCAGAGGCTATGGAAACGGCTCTTCTCATCTGCAGAGGCTGGGAGGTCTTTTCTGTTCTTCTCGTCTGCGAAGGCTTCCAGCGTAGGTGTTCAAGCGCCGAATGACAAAGGGGAAAGTTAGCTCACTTTTTTGTCTAATCAAAATTTGGTCATATTTTGATCCATTCAAAGTTGAGGAGTTATACGGGTGCCATTCTTTCTTAAATTTATAATAATTGAGAAACGAATAGTGCAATTCTCTTGAAAAAACTTAACATTAACCCCTAAATTTGATGGCTTGTCCCTACCAGGCGGAGGGTATGCAAGTTAATGCCACACTGTGTCGGCAAAGAGATGTGGGGCACATTTGAGTAAACTCACACTTATTTAATCATATTTTGAGTACACATATATAGATATATATATAGGGGTGGGCAAAAATACCAAAAAATCGGTATACCGCACTTACCGTACCGAAAAATACCGGAAAATACCGAAATATTGGTATACCGTCATTTTCGGTACGGTATCATACCGTACCGATCTATTTCGGTACGGTAACGGTAAATGTTTTCAAATGCCGCGGTATACCGGTATAATACCGTACCGACTCCCTACTAAACAATTATTTTTAATTCTAATATATTGTAAAAATCCATTACAATTTTGAAGCCCACAATTAATACTCCGTACTTAAGTTGGTTACAAATACAAAAATACAAAAATAAAAGCCCAATTTCTCAATCTCACTACTACGTTAACCTTAATGACTAATGAGTAATGTACAAATGTCAAGAAACAAGTCCATCTTGTTCCAAGAGCTTGCAAGTCGTGATGGTTGGGCCACTAAGTAGCTGACGAGTGAAGAGAGATACACTTATGTAACAAGTGTATCTACATAGGGATTCCGCGAGTCGAGACACACAACTTTGTCCGAAAGCTAAGTCTTATTTAATTTTTAAAAAATTATAAAAATAACTAAATACACAATATCAAATTAGGAATAAATGATTTTATATCCATGTTGTTTGAATAGTTTTATTTATTTTTGTTAGAGATCACTATTGATTTAATTATATCTATATTGTTCAAGTTATTTTAGGAGAATGTGTTACTTTTTAATATGTGGCATGTTGAACTGCTTAAATATGCTAATAATAAATATTGTTAAATATTGAATTGACATCAATAGATTATTAATTGTATTTCGTAACATTTTAATAATAGATTTAATATGTCGCTAGTAATAATGATTTAGTATATTTCGTTAGTCTATGATAATTTTTTGTATTGGGAGACATAAACGGTAATTTACCGATACCGTACCGTTACCGAACCGAAACTTCGGTATACCGAAATGCGGTATACCGAAACTTCGGTAAGGTAAAGGTATGCAAATTTTGCATACCGAAAGTTTTGGTATGGCAAAGGTATGAGAAAAAATATAAGGTATACCGTACCGAACCACCCCTAGATATATATTCTGATTTCTGAATCACTAAAAATAATGCCTTAAAAAAACAAAAAAATACTGCCACAATCACATTTCTACTTGCATACACTTCCTTCTATTGCTACAGACAGGCTGATCATTTGTTGCTGTGAAATGACATTAGAGATGTTTTCTTCAGTCTTTATAACATGTGAAACATCATACTCCTCAATACAAAAACGTGCGTATTCACATCAATATACTATACATATATATAGTAAGCAACATATGGCAATCCCCACATGTTGAAATGCTTAGTCATTCTGTGTGCAACCCATCCATGTGATTTCCTTCTTCTGTGCAGCTTTTCCTTGAACCCAATAATGTGAAAAAATCCAAAAAATTTTAACATCTTATGATCATAATAATAAAAAAGAATAATCAATGGTTCAAGGGAACAGCTTTAGACGCATCCAGATGGTTTAGACGGCAGGTTCCAATGAGGTATTCTGGAAGCTCATCTGTTGTATTGGCCTGTTAACACCCAATTTCATATTATCTTCAGACTAAACTAACAGAGCACATTCAGAAAGATTTTTTATATGTTATTTAGGCAAAATAATTCTACGTACATGTTTAGTTATTTAATTATATATTACCTGTATGAGAAATGCCATTTCAATAACAAGATTGTTTAGGCAGCCAAGAACAAGGCCAACCACACCCCTTGCAACTGTGGATGAACCGACATCTACTCCAAGCTGAATTTTTTGAAGGTAAAAACCAATTATCTCATCAGAGCAACAATTATAAATGCCACTCTGAAGATTATTATATCAATATATACAGTTCTTTTCAATAATAAAAAGATACTTCACAACCTATTATGGCTCTTACCTCCAAGTAGTTCTTCCCACGAGAGTAATTCACCTCTAACGCCTGCCCTATGAGGCAAGCTTTTCGCCCAACACTCTGTTTGACTATCCAGGATCCCTGAAAAAAAAAGAATAAATACGGAGTACAAATAATGACCAGCATAATTTTGAAAATTATTAGCAGCAAAGGTTTAGCTATCAAATCCCCGCAAAAAAAAGGTTTAGCTATCAAAGAAATGACTGAAGTTGTCATCCCATACTTGCTTCCTCTTCCCTAGTCACTTCAAATACTTCGATATCAATAGGTTTATGTTTTTCAATATATGAAAGAATTAATAGCCTATTAAACAACATATTTTCTTAACAGACAGTTACTTGAGAATGGAAGGGGTATCTGATTTCTCATTAGTGAGGTAGCAAGAAGGTACCAACCTTGGATATGTAAGGTATAAGCTTGAACCTTGAATTCCTATAAGCATCGTCTCCTTCTACAAAGCTTTTCAGCAAAGGTGCCTCTTTTAAAGGAGTATCCATCATATAGTATAAAGCAAGACTGTATGTTGTTGATCCAGGGACCTGTTTGATTGTCAAAACCCTATTTCTGTACAAATATCCTTATTATTAAAACCAAAGAAGCATATGTAAAATAGCGGACAACATTCACCTGTATGTGGACGATGAAGAAGAATTCTTGCCCACCCTTTGCAGCATATTTCTACAACATAAAGGTAATATGTATCAACCCCATAGACGATAATGTAATTGCACCACCACCCAGACAGAAGTTTACTGAGCTATGGTATAAAAATGTGGGATCCAAACGTAAATAGACAGCTAGAAAAATACCTGAACTATGCTCCCTTCCCGACTACCTAGATCATCTTCTCGTTTATCAGATTTCAACCAATCTGCACCGACCAATTGCATCAATGTGCCTTTTGCTTTAATCTACAGAACATCATGTGAAAAGAGACAATGTTAAATATCAAACTAGAGTTGTATATTCTTAAGCTTATAGGTGTAATGAAATTCACCTTCTTACGATCATCTAAATAAGTCTCTCCACGAATTAGAAAAGTTGAGGGATCTGCTTCGGTCCAACTGCAAGGCAAACTACAGCTTGGATCCTTTGGAAGGGTGGATCCATAGTTGCATAACAAACAATCTTCCTTTACCATCTCATGCAGGTCGACATAACCCTTCTTTTGAACTGTTGAAGAAAAAAATTAACTGTCAGCTTTTCAAAGAGAACACGTGTTCTGGAAAGTCCTATCAAACTAACCTGCAAGATCATGCAGTTTCTTCACAAAAACAGCAGCAGGTGACACTTTTGTATGTCGTGTATCCTGAAAAGAATCAACAAAACATATAAACTTTTGAACTTCAAGGGAAAACCCACAAAAAATGAACTAAGTCAAGGATTCAGGCATTAATACCACACAAGATTCTTGTTTTAAATTGGAAATAAATTGAGGTTATGCATGTGCCCATAATTAGTCATATAGCTTTAATCACTCTCACGTCATCTCTTGTAACTAATAAATTTGTTCACATTAAGGACTTTTCCACCAGAATGTACCACTTTTGGAAGAAAAAAAATCGCTGTCAGCAGCTATTCCGATGAAAATAGCCTTAATGTGGACACAGTTATTAGTTGCATGATATGATCTGCAGGTAAGTAAAGGTAAGGGACAAATAACGGGCACAAACAGAAGTAACACAACTAAATCGGCAAATATCTCTATAAATAACAGATTCATGGATACAAAAGAGAATTCATCCCTGAGGAGCATGGAGTTACAGCTATGTTTAGTTGTGACTCCTTCCGTCCCAAAATAAACTTACCAATTATATTTTGGGTTGTCCCAAAAAGAAATCTCATTTCCTTTCAAGGAAAGAATTGTGTGGTAGAGAATGATTCTTTCATTGTAAATAAATCTCAACCATAACTTAATTTCCGAAAGTCACCAGCCAAAAAGTAATGAGAAGTTTACTTTGGGCAGGAGGGAGTAACGGTTAAGAGGACTCCAGAAGTAATGTATGAAGTGGCACCTAGTAAGACTTATCAACATAGTAGTTGCTACGGAGTATAACTTCAAAAAATACAAATTCACAACACTCTTCTACCTGAGAGCACATTTCCAGTCCAAAGTCAGAAGGCCAACCATTTCCAGATTGTTCAGTATCTAGTGGTTCAGGGACATCAAAAAACTCATCCGATGCATCATTTAACCCCATGAGGCTTGCATGTTCAGATGGTGCCTTCACAACTTCTTCCATGTCTTCCTTATGTTTCCTCTCTAATGTTGTTTGGGCTTCACTGTCCTCATCAATTTTATGCAATCTTCTTCCTCTAATCAGTTCTCCCGAGGAATCAGAGGTCGAATATTCTCCAACTTTTGCCTTAAATAGCTCCCGTAAAGCTAGAAATGAAAATTGAGACTATCTGAGTATGCGATCAAATCTAATAGTCTAATACATGTACTTGAACTGATAAAAGTGGTTTACAAACATACCAGAAAGTCTTCCTAGCATGCGTATAGTTATAGACCGAGCTGATGATGTTTGTATATAAGTTTTCCAGGATTTCCAATCAATAGCAAGCATGTGCTTAACAACTGAGGCCTTCCCTTGATTCATGGGTGATATTACATATCCACCACCTGCTTGGAGTGCATATTGATAAACATCAATAATACCAACAGATGAATAGCAAGTTTGGCCTAATCACATATAGATAGACAATAAATGACATAAAAGAGCACAATGTCTTGGCATGAAAATAGAATAATTCCAACCGGACCTTTTTATTGACATTTTTGAGTGCTTAAGTGACATTCCTATGTGTCACTTGTTTTGTGGTAATTGTGGAATTTACCTTTTAA